TGACCTCGGTCAGCCCTCAGTGAGTCTACCGCCTTGCGCCCTCAGTGGGTCCACCTGCTTCTCCACACCTGGGATCCGCCCATGGCTGCCAGCACGCCAGGGTTGCGTGCCAGGGTGGGTCCGGTGGATCCTTCCTGCCCAACCCCGCTCTGCTGCTGGCTCTGCCCCTCTTACAAGAGTAATTTTTTAAGTTTGAAATAATTACTTACTTAGACGTCTTGTAAATTTTCTCCTTGAATAGTTAAATCCAGGGCATTAATAGCATAAGCAAAATGAAGTTGAAGATGATGATTGATTAAAATTGTATAGTATAATATAATCATAGTTAAAATATTTTTACGTAAAATTATTTTTCAAAATAATTTTTAATGAGAACTTTATCCCAAGATATTTGACTTTTTTACTTTATTATTTTCCCTCACCCAGTGATATGTTTTTATTAATTTTAGAGAAAGGAAAAGGGGGAGAGAAAGAGAGAAATGGAGAATCATAGATCAGTTGCCTTCCACAACCTAGGTATGTGCCCTACCGGGAATCAAACCACAACCTTTTAGTGTGTGGGATGATGCTTAACCAACAGAGCCACCTGGCCGGGGCCAAAATACTTGCATTAAAACTGAATTGGCATTGTCTCTCAATCACATTGCTGTGTTTATGTTTTCAAATATTGTCAGTGAACTCTGAGCTCAGTGTTTGCTGTACTCTTTGATATAGTAAGTAGAATAGATGAACATTTAGAAATGTTAGACTGAAATAACTAGAACATTTTTGTGAGGTTTTATGAGCCTTTCATTGCTAGTATGCCGTCCCAAATCCACCCAAATCAATGATACCCATGAAACGTCAGCAGGTGCTCAAAGAAGTCTCTGCATGTCACTCTGCTGCCCTCTAGTGATGGTCCTCCCGCAGTCTTCCTCAACTCCTAGACTGACTGTATGTGTGTGTTTATTTTTATTTACAGTTAGGAATATTTCTTTTCTTTTTACTTCTTTTATTTTTTTTCTCAAAGATTTTATTTATTTCTTTTTAGAGAGGGGAAGGGAGGGGGAGAGAGAGAGAATCATTAATGTGTGGTTGCCTCTCACATGGTCCCCACTGGGGACCTGGCCCACAACCCAGGCATGTGCCCTGACTGGGAATCGAACCTGTGACCCTTTGGTTCGCAGCCCACACTCAATCCACTGAGCTATGCCAGCCAGGGCTCCTTTTCTTTTTAAAGCCTTCTTTTAGAAATGGAATCCTTGCTCACAGTCTTTGTTACCTTTTTAAAAATGAATTGAGTACTGTGTAGTGATGCTTTATTGATATGAAAGACGCCAATAAAATTCAACCCTCTAGAACTTCTTTTTTAAAATGACAGAGGTGATCATATCTGAGAGGAACACTTCACATGACTTTTGCATTCCCGCATTCTTGGAAGTATATCTCAAATAGACTTTCATTAAAGATGTGTATTAAGAATTCCTAATATAGGATGTAATCCATCTCTGTGACCTAGGTTCTTAATAGTTTATTGTCTGACAAATCAGAATAGAAATGCATCTATGAACTATTGGATTGGAATTTCCGTACTTCTTTAAATAAGTGTGCTTTTTTTTTTACTAAGTGCTTTTATTCTAAATCATTTCATAATTGACTCCAAAGCACAACCACATAATAGTTTTTAAATATTCTTATTATAAACTTTAAACAGAGTTAGTAAGAATGTATAGTGTCAAAATTGAATTGAACCAGGACATTGTTTTTATCTTGCCCTGCTAGTTTTGAAAAAACTTGTTAGTGACTATGATTGTTCCATCTTGTGGGCACAGGAGTTTTTCTCTCATCTGTACAGCGTGTTGCAGTGCTGTCTGTGATTTGATTCATTATTGGGGCATCAGTAAAATAGCGCAGTCAACAATTCACTCTTAGTACCTAGTGATTTCCTAAGCATTTTCCATCTGGGTATCAGATTTTGCTGGTTCCTGCTCATAGAATGAAGGAATTTAGAATTCTGTTAAATGTGTTGAACCATCTCTTTTCAAATTTCCAACACTGCTAATCAAGTGTTAGAAAATGGTAGCACCTCTTTTAAGTTTTAGAAATATGCCTATTTGAAATACCTATACTTTCTGGACATTAGCACATTATTAAAGGGATTTGGATTTTTTCATCTCTCAGTGTGAACACATGTAGCATTCTCTTTAATAAAACATGAGCTGTGACTATATAAGCTGAAGTCCTGTTTGTCATCTCTTTGTACCCATCTCTTTGTGTCCTGATTCTAGGACACATACACACACAGCCCAGAATCCAAGGCTGTGCAAGTCTTTTATAAAATGGTGTAGCCTTAGCCTGTCTTCGCATACAGGCTGTGGCGGGGGGGGTGCCTCTACACCGCTTCATTCCTGTGGGTTCAGTGTTGCGCTCAGCTCATGGCAGATTCAAATGTTGCTTTGGAACTGTGGGGGGGGGGGGGGTAATTATTTTGATCCACAGTTGTTGGGCCGACTATATTTCAGATGAAAGTAGGATTTTATAAGTCTGACCAGAAGAGTCCTCGGGTCTCTTTTCAGAGTCTGTTAGGGCTCTGTGCTCCCTTGCTGTGTATTTCCTGTCCCAGAGATGCTTGTGTCTCCTGATATCTGTTGATTTCTTAATTACTTTGAAAACCTTTAGGATTATAAATTCATATTTTAAGTTTGAACTATACAGAATGTCCACAGATGTACAATTGTTTAGTCTCCCTTTTCTCCTCATTCTTAGCCTGATTTAAACAAATAGTAACCCAAGTGTTCATCAGTAAATGAGTGGATAAGGAACAAGTGGTGTTTACATACAGTGGACTATGATGCGGCCATAAAAAGAATGAAATTTTGCCATCTGCAACCATGTGAACCTAGAGGGTACTGTGCTGAGTGAGATACAGCAGAGAATGACAGTGCCGTGTGATTTCACTTCCATGTGAAGTCTAAAAGTCAGAACAAACAAACAAGCCGAATAGAAACAGAATAGATGAAGAGAACATTTTGATGGTTGCCAGATGGGAGGAGAGTTAGGGAGGTGGGTGAAAAAGGTGAGGGCATTAAGAAGTATAAATCGGTAGTTACAGGATAATTGTGGGGATATAAAGTACAGGTCAGTAATGTTGTAATGATTGTGTTTGGTGCCAGGCGGGTGCTGGTTTTATTAGGGTGACCACTTTGTAAGAGAAAGAAATGTCTAATCACTGGGTTGTACACCTGGAATGAATGCAATATTGTACATCACCTATAACGGAAAAATAAAAAATACTTTAAAAGAAAAATAGCAACTCTTCTTTGTGAAATATTTCCCCATTTGTCTTCTAATTTTCAAGCAGTTTCGAACTTTGTCTGATCCCCTGCATTTATAGAATTATGCAGCATATTCTAGTTGTAAGATTATGAGAGTCAAACTTGCTGATTTTTCATTCCTGGTGGATTGATGGACAAATCAGCCTAGAGACCCAGGCCCTCGACCTGTGACACAGCCGCTTAAAAAGAAAAAGAAGGAAGAAAAGGGCAGGAAAGGACGTGTGGGGAGGGCCAGGCTTCTCCTCCCTTGTTTCCTCTGTGCCCTGTACCTGTGACCGGGTCGAACGATCTCTTTCGTGGGCGAAAGGGAAGGGTAGGCTTTGCAAATTTCAGTCTTTGACCAGGGAGTGCTGGCTGGGATTGATGAAACAGACTGTAACTGAGATCACGTCAGCCGTTCAAATATGTTTTAAAAAATTGTTTTAATCCATAGATCCACGAAACTCGTCATCATCGAGAGGTTGCTGCTTCTGGCAGAGCGCTATGTGGTCACTATAGAGGTAAGCCTCTCTTCCTGATGCAGCCGCACCACCCACGACTAGGCTCCGTGTGGTGGCTGTGCAGTTTTGAAGTGTTCGACAGTGATGCTGCATATCTGATTCGTTTGACTTGCTGTCTTTTTCAAGGACTTTTACTCTGTTCCACGAACTATTCTACCTCACGGCGCCTCATTTCATGGACATCTTTTAACTCTCAATGTTACTTATGAGTCTACCAAAGATACCTTTACTGTAGAGGTAGGTTTACATTAAGCTCTGTAGCCATTTTCTCTCTTGTTATTTTCATAACACTGTTGATTAAGCTCTCTGAATGAGTGGCTCTTCTATTGTAAAAGCTCTTAAACAAATTTAGAATAAAGACCTGAAGTGACAGGAAACTGATGGGGTATAAAGCAGACACATAGGTAAATACATAATACAATATCAGGTGGTGGTGAGTGTTAGTAAAAGTAAAGCAGAATAAGTTGGTAGAGGTGATAGTTATACATGAAATACCATTTTAGATGAAGACGGACAGGGAAGGTCTGAGGTGGTGACATTTGAACACAGACTTGAATGAAATGACATAGTAAGCCATTTCTAGAAAGGACTTTACAAACAAAGGGAGCATCAGGGACATAAGCCCTGCGGTGGGAGTTTGCTTGGCTTGTTCATGAGAAGCAAGGCAGCTGGTGGGATAGTGAGAAAGGGAAAGAAAGAATGGAAGACCGGCTGTGGAAGAAGGACTTGAGGTTTTATTGTGTGCGTGATGAGGCGGAATTGGAGTGGCAAACAGAACTTTCACTTAAGCAGAAGGGAAGCCCCCCAAGGGCAGGGATTCGCATCTTCGGTTTTCTGCTGTCTCAGCGTGTACACCAGTGCACAGTGCCCAGTAGATGCTTGTTTAAGTGAACGAGTAAATGGGTTATAATGATGTGGAGTTTCATTTCACAGGCCCACAGTAATGAAACCATAGGGAGTGTCCGGTGGAAGATAGCCAAGCAGTTGTGCTGTCCTGTGGATAATATACAGATATTTACAAATGATTGTCTGGTAGGTTTCAATAAACTTGGCCCTTTAGCCTGATAGTACTACTTTCCTCTTTCTTTCCCTCTCAATAATTAAGAAACCACTTTTTGCAGCTGACAGTGAATAAAGATCAAAAGCTACTCCACCAGCTGGGCTTTTCCGATGAACAGATCCTTACAGTAAAGACTTCGGGCAGTGGGACCCCATCTGGGAGCTCAGCCGATTCCTCCACCAGCTCCAGCAGCAGCAGCAGTGGGGTGTTTAGTTCATCATATGCCATGGAGCAGGTATCGAGTGATAAATATCTGTTTTAAAACAAAGTTTTAATATCGTTTTGCCTTCAGCCTATATAGATTTGGCCTGAAGGCAAATCCTGACTCTTCAGAACTGTCTCACTGAGAAGCAGCAGGCATCCATTGGGAGAAGATACATCATTTATCAATCTCCTGGACAAAAATCTTCTGAGTCCCCCAGTCATTCTGCCTGGCCACTGCTTGCTGCTCCTCTCATACATTTCTCTTCATTGATTCATTCATTTTCCCTCTACTGGGCCGTGCCCACTAGCAGTCACACATGCCGTGTTACCATCTTACCGTCCCCACGATTCCACCTTCATTTCCCACCCTAGCATCTCCTTCCCAAATCATCAAAGCTCCTCGAAAGAATTGTTGAAACTCTTCTGTCACCTCTTTTCTGGCTTTTTTCTAGGTTATCTGTCATTTCCACCTCTCAGTCCTCATTTTCTTGACATTTCAACAGATTTGATGCATGTGATCACTTCCCCTTGAAATACTTTCTTCACTTGGCTTTCAGATGTTTTTGTGACTGTGTCTTTTTAATTTAGCCTAACCTTGCTATAGATGTCAAAGAACTCTTCAGGGTTAATATTAGTATTATGGATTTTTTAAATAACTATATTAATTAAATAACTGTATTTAACAAGAACTCGAGAAATTCCATTAAGAATAGTATTAGAACAGTTAATTAGCAACAGAAATAATGTATATAGCATCTTTAACATGTTTGTACTATTTCATATCCTGAATTTATTAAAAATATTTCCCTATGTAAATACATTCTATAGTGATGTCTGGTTTCTTATTCCTTCTAACCAGAAAATAGTACTTTAATCACATCTGAGTCTCTTGTATGCAATTCTATCCAATTTTTTTATTTCTTACCTTTAGAAAAAACAGGGTAACTTCTTTTTCTCACCTTAGATTACATACAAGGGTGGACTCCCAAGAAAACTGGAATTATTTTCTAAAGGGCAGGCCCCTTGTAGTACAGGCTTCCTCCACTAGGTGAGTGTTCTAGGAACCCCTCTGTATCAGTGTACCAGCTGGCATTTCTGTGAGAGGCTACATTCAGCTTCAGTTATATTTTTTTCATAGGGGGAGATTCTGTCAAAGCATTTGCCCATTTCATGATGGGTGATTGATTACAAGCACACCTGCCCAGACTGCACTGAGTGTTCGGTTTTTAATCAAAAACTGTGTGGCCCCCCCGTCCCACCCTCCCCATTCACCCAATCTTGCCCCAAGCAACTTTTTTTTGTTTCCCTGGGTGAAAAATATTCTCAAAGGGAAACATTTTGCTGGTGTGGAAGAGGTGAAACAAAAAACAGTAGAAGCACTAATAGGTATCGAAATTGACAGGTTCAAAACCTGTTCTGAGCAGTGGGAGATATCCTGATAGGTGCACTGCATCAGATGGAGAGTGCTTTGAAGGTGACTGAAGTTTAAACATGTGAGAATAAACAACACAATTTTTTATAAACAAGTTCCAGTTTTGGGGGTCCCCCCTCATATATATCTATGTATTGCGTGTGCGTGTGTGCACATATGTATACTACCTTAGTTTGGCTCTTAAGTCACTCATTGCCCTGTTTCCTCCTGAGGTGCTCTAGTCAGCTTTCTGTGGTGCCCTCTCTCCATTCTAGACATTACACCTGCCTTTGTCTCACCTCCCGTCCTTCTGCCTGCCATTCGTCGCCTTAGCCCCTCCCCCCCCCCCCCCCGCAGGTGGGTGTGAGAAGAGAGCCAGGTAATAAGCTCACTGGAAGGCGGGAGATCCCCGACTCTGGGTTTTCATGTGTCTTCAGTGCGCTGTGCTTCCCTCATGTTTTCTAGTGACCAGTCTTTCCGAACAAGTGTTTTTATTATTGGTATATTTGATTTCAAAATTCTTTTGTAACTTTGTATCTGTATGTTGCCTCTTCCCCTCAGGAGAAATCCCTTCCTGGTGTTGTGATGGCACTTGTATGTAACGTGTTTGACATGCTTTACCAGCTTGCCAATCTAGAGGAGCCAAGGTAAATAAATTTTATAAAAGTTTTTATCTATTTATTTATTTTTAGGGAGAGGGGAAGGAAGGGAGAAAGAGAGGGAGAGAAACATTGATGTGCAAGAGAAAATTAGATTGGTTGCCTCTCACGGGCCCCCAGCTGGGAACCCAGCCTGCAACCCAGGCTTATGTCCTGACTGGGAATTGAACCAGTGACCCTTTGGTTCACAGGCCAGCACTCAATCCACTGAGCCATACTGGCCAGCACAGTAAATATAAATAGTTATAAAGCATGAAAGAAAGTTATAAAGGTCAGGGAACCAAGTGACTTTTCACTGGATACATTTTACCTTACTTCTCATACTAAATGATTCTGTTACTGAAACCATGACTTATCTGAAAAAAATCTAAATTTGAACAATTTCAGGATAACTTTACGAGTACGAAAGCTGCTGCTCTTGATACCCACTGACCCAGCCATTCAGGAAGCCCTTGACCAACTTGATTCTTTAGGAAGAAAGGTATGAGTGTCTTCATAATTATTTAACTGATGTGAGATTTTATATCATGATTCAGTGAAAATACAACATGAAATCACGTTAAAGTCAGTTGATATCATCTTTTCCATAATGATTTTTCTTCTTTTAAAAAACCTTCTCTGTAATGGAAATCAGAACTTCAGTGGCTTTTAAAGTACATAAATAGAGTCAAAAATGATGTCAAACTTTCAAACTAGAAGAGTCTTTAATATCATGTGCTTCTGCTTTCATGGTCCATGTTAGGGAACCAGAGCCCAGAGATGAAGCATCTTGTCCGAGTCAGACTGCAGTTCCGACTCCTCTCTCTGACACCTCTCTGATCGTGACTGTTGCTTATGTTTGAGTTGCTTGCATAAATGGATTATCTTTTAAAGTTTTTCAGTGTTGATATTTAAAGTTCACTTTTTAATTGTTAGGTTATTATTCCTTTATGTATATATTGAAATTATCTTTTTTCCTTAATGTTGTCTACTTAGGATAAATTTAGAACAAAGTTGTTAGAATTAAGTTAGGAATTTTATATTTCATTGGTTGTTTATATCAAGTCAGTCTCGTCTTATTTGACTTACATATTAACTTGTGGGAGAAGAGAACTAATACAATAAGATATATCACTTGTATAGGTTCAAAAAAGTCTCAGAGCTACCACTTTTTCAGTCCTGTAATTTCATCAACAGTATTTAGAGGTACAAGTTTTAAAACACAGAAACAAATTTGGATGACTGTACCAGTGTTGCTTAAAATATGATTATAATTCTGTTAAGCACTTACCATTTGTGTGGTAGAGTGTGATGTCTGGTTAATAATCATACAGTGATCCAGTTTTATGGGATAGTTTTTTTAATATCATTGGTTTGGATTATATTAAAATAAAAAGAAGATACTAGAGTGTATACAGATCTGGTTTTTTGTTTGTCATTGTAAGACATACATTTCTTCTTATTGTTGTTCCTTTAAACATAGAAAACATTGCTGTCTGAAACAAGCTCTCAGTCTTCAAAGTCTCCATCCCTCTCCTCTAAGCAACAGCACCAGCCAAGCGCCAGCTCAATTTTAGAAAGTCTGTTTCGATCCTTTGCTCCAGGAATGTCCACCTTCAGAGTGCTCTACAACTTAGAAGTAAGAGACCTCCTTTCTTCTCATTTTGTTTGGGCTTGCAGAATCATGTTTGCCGATGACAGAAATGAGTAAACAGGCTTGGTCTGTAAAAATTTGTTCTTAAAAAGGTACCAAATAGAATATAAATTTGAAATATTTTGGTTTTTGCCTTTGTCATTGCTCAGTTTTTTCAGTTGATAGCTGTGTGCATTGTTACACTTGCAAAATAGCATTTAAATAAATAATCTATTAAGATGGGTCATTACCTTCCTCTACAAGTTTTGCAAGTATGTATAATATCAGTTATTAATTCTAAGACTTCTTGTTATTAAGTGCATTTAAATTTTTTGTAAGTATTGTAATTTGTTGTCATTAGTGAAGCTTTATGAGGAATTTGTCAGGAGACATATTGACATTATTATTATTTGAAGGTTAAAAAAACATTGGAAGAATTTGAGCAAAAGAATATTTTTATTTTCCTGCCCCTAAAAATAGCTTTAAACTAGTAGCAGATTTAGTTCAGTAAACATTTACTACCATTCATTGTGATAGTTAAGAGGTCAGAGCTGGAAGACAAGATACCTGCTCCAGGGTCTTATGAACAAGACATAGGAGAGGCTGGGTAGACGGAGCCCTGAAAGCAAAGCATTCACAAAGCAATGTGGGGGAAGCAGCCCTGCTCTTAGAGGGCCAGGAGTCACCCTTGTGCCACGTCAAGTCTGGAGAAAAGAAAGAAAGCCCTTGATGATTTCACTTTGACCAAGGAAACTATATCTAAGCAGTTAGCTATTTAAGAATTCATATCAATACCCAAGCAGCCTTAATTATCTAATTATTGTTTTCTCTAGTAGATTTTGAGTCATAATAAAGGTCATAATTGCTAAGGGGTACCTACTTGGCCGTGTTTCATAAGGTTTATTTCATCTGATAATCTAATTGGAATATATAATTATATTCATTCATTTTTATGGTCTACCTGTTACTTATATGTTCAAACTATGGTAACATTCATATTTACCTTAAAATAATTATTCTTATCAAAAGACACATTGGATTCAAAAGTAGAAAATATTTAGTAAGTATTTTTAAAATAAAGCATATACTTATTTAATGTAGACATTCAAAATAGGTATAATATCCCAAAACAAAACATTGCTTAGAATTTTGGGGTCAGTTTAACCTTGTAAATTTTTAACTTTCCATTGCCGCCAGATTTGTCATGTTCTTTTGAATGATTGTCTCAAAAAAGGTATAAATCTTAATGCCCTAATTTGAGAGCACCTAGAAAAACAGAACGGTCCCACAGTGCTTGTCATCAGCCACTTAGATGGCATTATCTTAGAACCAAAGGATGTAA